CCCCAGCCTGCCCAGCCCCTAGCCTGCCTCGCCCCCAGCCTGCCGGCCCCCAGCCTGCCCAGCCCCTAGCCTGCCTCGCCCCCAGCCTGCCGGCCCCCAGCCTGCCGGCCCCCAGCCTGCCCCGCCCCCAGCCTGCCGGCCCCCAGCCTGCCCTGCCCCAGCCTGCCCGGGGGACGGGGGGCCATCTCCCTGCCTCCCGTGCTCAGGCGCCCACAGGGCGTCCCGTCGCTCGCCCTCTGCGGGGCTCCCAGTCCCCCGCTGAGAGCAGGAAACCCGTGGGAAAGGGCGCTTAGGAGGTCAGGGCCGCCCCAGCCTCAGGCCAGGCTGTGTTCAGCAGACACACGGGGCCCTGGGGCTCCGGCTCCAGACTCTTGCATCGGCCCTAGCAGCAGCTCACGGCCTGGGCCAGGGGGAGGCAGAGGTCCGAGGGCCCACCCCGCCTCCCCAAGAGCAGTCACAGCTGGGGGAGACCGGGCCTGAGTGAGGCCTGCAGAGGGGCGCCAGGAGCAGGCCAGACGCACCCTTAGAAAGGAGGCTGGAGACGCATGTGAGAACTTCCAGCGCTTCCCGTGATCACCGCCGGCTCCCCGCCCTGGGGGCGAGGCCTCGCCTGAGCCTCCCCGGCAGGTCTAGGGCCTCCTGACGGTCCTGGAAGGGTGCGCGAGGGCGGAGTCCCGGGCCGGCTCTCACCTCCATCTCCCCCGCCCGCCCCCAGCTCCTCCGCCTCCGAAGCGCGCTCCGACCACGGCCCTCACCCTTCGATCCAAGTCCATGACCTCGGAATTGGAGGAGCTCGGTGAGTGCCCGCGGGCTGGCCTCGCAGAGCCGCAGCTTGTGCATGCCCCCGCTTGCCCGCTTGCCCCTTTCCTGGCCCTAGCGCCCGGGAGGCTGTCAGGAAGCCCCCCGGAGCAAGGTTCTCCGCGCTGGCCCCCTGCGCCCCTCCTGGGCTCGGGGGAGCTTCGCCATTGGGCCTCCTCTCTCTTGGTTCGTCTAACATTGTTCTGTTTTGAATTTTTGGGCCTCTCACTAGTGGATAAAGGTAAGCAGACCCCTGCGGTCTAGGGTGCCCGCGAGATCTTTCCTCTCGCGCATGGCTTGGTCCAGAAGACCGTGGCCCCAGCTGAGGGTGGGCGCAGACAGCAGTGGGCTGGTGGGCTGCAGGTCAGGGCACGGGGCTTGCTGGGGCCTTCTCAAGGGGACCGCAAGAGATAGAGGGCTGTGGCCGCTGGGCCCCGGGGCGTGGCCTGGGGAGGGCGCACAGAGCCACGTGGACCCCGGGCCTGGCGGCCGCGTGGCTCATAACAAGGATGCCACCTGCTGCTGGTGAGCTGCCATCCTGGGCAGTCACCCTGGCTCAGGGACACGTCCCCCAGGAGGCTGCTCTGACCACACCGGAGCGGCCAGCGGGCTGATGGCTCGCTTGGCTGAGAGGGCTCGGTGGGCAGGGAAGAAGCGTAGCATCTGTGACTCGGCGCAGGGCAGGTTCCAGGGGCACGAAACCAGCCCTGGGCCCCGGAGCCGGTCCCCGCAGGCCCAGCCCATCCAGGGAGCAGAGTCTGAGCACACTCGCTGGTCTGGGACTCTCTGGGCGCTCCGATCGGGCCCCGGCCTTAAGGGGAAGACCTTTGGGCCCTTCTGTCCAGAAGGACACAGCAGCCTCTCCCGCTTTGCAGCTCCTCTGACAGGGTCTCCCGGGGCCCGGGCCGGCCCCTGTGAGCGCCCCTTGCCCGTCGCCACATGCTGGGGCTACACCTGCAGCTGGGTTGAAGGCCTAGGTCTTCTAGAAAGTGGCAGCCCTGCCGTGGGGCCTCCCACCCCTCACCCGGAGCCCCCTTCCTCCAGCCCCTTCTGGACCACACCTTGTCAGTCCAAACAAGACTCCAGAAACCACCCCCCTGCACCCAGGCCTGGCCCAGCCCCCCGAGAGGGGCAGCAGTGTGACTGTCCACGGGAGCTTCCCTAAAGCTGGGTGGCGTTTGCCACAAGGTCTCCCCCAGGAGGACCCAGGCAGGTCACCTCTCGGGGGGCTCCAGCTGCGTCAGCCCATGGCTGAGGGTCCTTCCTGAGAGCCGCCTCGGCGCATGCCGCCCACCACTGCAGGGGGAAGGGGGACAGGGGCTGTAAGAGGAGAAGCCCTGTCCCCCGCGGACAGGGCAGCCCCCAGGTCCCAGGAGAGCGGACTGCGCCCCCTCGCCCGCCTGCATCTGCCTCGGACCGCGGGGCCCCCGTGGTGGGATGGGGGGTCATCAGGCCCCCAGCGAGGGAGCCCAACCCAGACCCCAGGAAGCACTGCCCCCGCCCCCGCCACCCTGGGACTCACACTGCCCTTTCTGTTTGCAAGCCTCCGTCCGGAAGAAGAAGGGTAAGGGGCGAGCCCACCCCCCGTGGCCCTCAGTCATGTCCAGACTGTGTCGTGACCTGTACTGTCTCCTCCCTGCTCCGGGTCCTCCAGGGGTGCCCAGCCCGGGACGCGTCCCGTCTCAGTGTGACGTCCGCCCCGCCCCTCCCCGTCTGTGGTCGCCCAGCGTGTCTGCGTCTCCCCGAGTCGTGTCCACATCATCGACGTGTCCACCGTCGTCCAGAGGGGCCTGTCTGGGTCAGGGCTGGGGGGCCTTCCCACGGGCGGGTGGTCAGGGTGTGGGCCAGCAGGGCCCCTGGCAAGCTGTGGGCAGGGACCGCTGCCCTTTAACTCCCAGAAACCCCTGTCCTCCGGGAAGCCTGCCCTCCACGGGCAGGAAGACTGCCCTAGAACTGGCAGGCCACACCGCTCCCTGCCCCCGACTGGCGGTGNCAAGGCCAAGCCCAGCCAGCATGAACCGCTGTGTCTGCCCACCACGCCTTCCAGAAGAGGCCCCACACCTGGGCCGCGGGGGCCCCGTGGCCGTCATTGGGCTGGTGGGGAGGGCTGCCGCCAGGAGGAGCAGCTCAGACTCAGGCTGGCCCGGCCTCGGGGCACGTGCGGCCTGCCCCCACCCACCCCAGGGGCCCCGCAGCCAAACACCCTGGACTGCAACGACGACAGAAGTCGTGTCCCGCGTGGCCTGCCTGGGCCGGGGCAGAGTCACACAGAGGACACGCAGGACTCCCGGAGAGGGGGCCCACCTTCCTTGCACAGTGGAGAAAGTTGGATGTGAATTTGAATTTGACCTTAGATGCCCCCATTCAGTCCTTGAGGAATCTTCCGAGGACCTGCTCTGTTCCCAGAGGTTGTCTTCATGGCCACTGCGGGGGAGCCAGGGCCACCGTGAGGGCCACACGGGGCCAGGGACGCTCCAAGCAGAAGCCAGAGGGGAGGGGCCTGCTTTACCGCTGCCTCTGGGCCGGGGAGGGTCAGAGCGCCCCGCCCCACCCCTGGCACGCCCGCACGGCCTCTCCTGGGAAGATTAAAGAGATGGGCAGCTGGCCAACAGCTGCCGCTTCACCAGGAGCGGCCTGTCTGTGCCATCCGGTGCCATCGATGCTCAGCTTCCTCGGAAACTGTGTCGTGGAGGAAACCCTGAGTGTGTGCCCTCTCACCCCAAAACATGGCGAGGCTGGCCCCGCCCCCCCCCGAGGGCCCGGCAGGACCCCCTGTTCAAGGTCACAAGAAGGGACAGGCTTCCTGGAGGTCCCCGAGATTAGGATGCATTTTGTGAAACGACCGCCCGAAATGCTCCAGGACCTGAGAGTCCGAATCTCAGCTGGGCCAGGCATTTCCGGAGCAGCTGGGGGCACCCTCCCGATGGTTCTGAGGAGCGGGGCTGCTGGATCCAGCCTGGAATGTGGCCCCAGACAGATGGGGGCCCAGGGATGGGGGGGTGTCTGCAGTGGGTGGGCGCCCCGTTTCCCCCGGGGGAGACTAGGCCACCAGTGCACGGTGTCAGCCTGGCTTCAGCTTCCCCTCCTTGCCCCAACTTGGGGGGAGGTCATTCCACTCCTTGATTCGACGCCTCCCTCCTACAGACCAAGCCGGTGACATCTGCCGAACGACCTGGGGCTTCCCCAGCAGGAGAGCTCGGGCACACGGGCGACTCAGCCTGTGCTTGGGGGAGTGCTCGTGGGTGGGGGCTCCGGGGTCAGGCAGGAGCACCCCACTCGTGCTCTGGTCCCCGAGAGAGGCGGGGTGCCTGCGGCCTGCCCCCCATGCCTGACATCCGCCCCCTCCTCCCAGCAAGTGTGCAGCCTGCGGTCAGTGGGCACCATGCCATGTGTTTGCTTAGAAAATTAAAATACAGGGTTGCTTCCGGGGTGTTTGCATCAGCTTACTCCTAGATTGTTTCTGAAGACTTGACAGTTTTCCAGCCTGTTGGCAGGGTGGCCTTCGGCCTCAGAGTGCTTCACTGTAAGGCCGCAGGGCCCGGGCTGACTAATCTCAGCACCAACAGAAACCCAATCCCAGGCTTGCATAAACAAAGCAGAATAATCCTTGTGAGCCTGGAAGCAGGAACAAAAACCCGTCTCACAGTGTTCCTAAAAAGCCTTTGTGGGCCAGTAAACAAGCCCTGCACCGCGGGGGCTGAGCCGGCTTGAGATGAGTGAGGCCCGGAGGGGACCCGGGCCCCCAGGGGACAGAACCCGGGCCTGCCGTCTGCATCTGAATGGAAGAAACCACACTAACCACCCTCAGTGGGAAACAGAATAACATCCCCCAACACAACCCCTGCAGAACAAGGTGCTCTCTTGTGCCCTGGCTCCAAAGACTTCGTCGTAGGTGTCGTGAAGACCAGAGGGCCAAGGTTACACAAAGGCCGGGACCGTCCACGTCAGGGTCACCGTGGCTCCAGGGATACACCTCCAAATACACCCCAAGACCACCCATCCGGATGCGGCGTGGTGAGCAGGGTGCTGACTTCTCAATCAGCCTGACCAGGCAGGCCATTCCGACGGCAAACCTAGATTTCCACCGTCAGCCAGGGCTCTGCAAGCTCCCCGCTGGTCCCGGAGTTCCAGCGGCACAAAAGGCGTCAGCCCCTCATTTTCAGGCTGCAGGATGGGGACAGTCCCCCCTATAACCAGGCTCTTGTTAAGATGAGAAACGGAATGAAGGCGCCTCGAAGTCCCGCCAGGGTCGCCTTTGCCTCCCCTGCGCACACCCACCGTTGAGGGTTTTTGGCAGTGCCTGCCACACGCCTGGGGCCCCAAGACCACGGTGTTCCGCTGGCTCCGTCCAGGCCTGCTTCCTGGCTTCCACTCCAGCCTGCTCAGTGGGGTAGACTGGCCCTGTGAGCTGGGCAAACCACAGAAGTCGACTCACGGGGCCCCATTAGGGACAGGAGGTCTCGAAGACCCAGCTGTATAACTGTCTATGTCAGGAGCCCCGTCCGGTCCTCACAGGAGGCCCTGCAGGCTGCAGCCACTCAGCCTTGCCCTAACTCGGGGGCATCCCCTCCCCCGGGGGGAGGGCAGCCTGCCCAAGCTGCACAGGCCGAAGCTGAGGCTGGGCCCAAGAAGGCGGCCAGACCCCTGGACAGATGTCCCCACGTGGGAGCTGGCCCTGACACCCCGCCATCCCTGGAGGAAGAGCCACACCCCGGCAGAAACAAGGCCGGCGGCCAGCGTGAGGGGCCTGGATTCCAGGGACGGGCCAGAGGGGCAGGAGGTGGGGGAGAGCCGCACAGCAACAAGGGAAAGCCCCACCCCAAGAGAAGCCCGGCCCAGGCTCTCTTCGCGGCGGAGGCGCACTGCTGGGACGGGGTGGGCGCGGGGGCTCACGAGGCAGGAGGGTTCCCGGCCCCGGGAATGCAGGCAGGGAAGAGCGCGGTGGCCACAGCTGGGGGTCCCCACCAGACGCGGATGCTTCCGACCAGCTCCCAAAGGGCAGACACTTGCTGGGTCTCGCACATCCACGGGGAAAAGGCTGGGAAAGCTGCAGGTCCCAGAGTGAGGAGGACCCTCACTGAACCGCCGCCTGAACCCCTCTGCCTTTCCAGGCCAGGCGCGCTGGCACTGTGTGACCCTGGCCCTGGTCCAGGATGGGGTCTTGAGAAGCCAGCGTCCTGCCCGTTGGCGGTGGGCGGGCCCTGGCGGGCCCCTCTTGTTGGGGGTCTGGGAAAACTTTTCCAGGGGCTGCGCTTCTCCTGGGCGGCCCCTGCTAAAGGCAGCTGCTGCAGCATCTTGGGCCGGGCACCAGGGTGCCAGTCCTGTGACTCTCACGCTGGCCTCGCAGCTTGGGGTCTGCTAAGACCCCAGAAGCTTGAGCCTTTCTGACAGCATGAGCTTTGTGGGGAGTCACAGGACCCCAGGAGGGGTTGGGGTTCAGCTCGGAGAAGACCTCAGGCTGTGGACAGAACGCTCTGGGGCTGCAAGGAGAGTGTGGTGCCTCACGGGGTCCCACCAGGCCCTCCTCACCCTGGCTTCCCACTCCCCAGGGGCGCCTCCCATTGCAGCAAACCAGGGTTCCCTTCCAGACGCTGGTGCCTGAATGCAGTCACTGGGTTCCCCCCCACCAAAAAAAAGTTTAAATTTATATTTTCAAATAATTTCTTAAGCTGTAAGCATCACTAATAACTGACCCTCGGCTTGCTTATTCACAAGCAACTAAGGCCTACTATCTGGGGTGAGGGGAGACTTCCTGAGTGGTGGCTGCCTCCACTCCCCAGCCCTGCCCCTGCCTACACCCCACGCTGCCCAGTCGCCTCCATCCTTGGGTGCTGGGTCCTGAGACCCTAGCAAGTGCATTTACAAGGGAGCTGCACCACTGAGCTGTTAGAAAGAGATTCACGACGTTGACTTAGCTCCCGCCTCCCGGAATGAACAGCTCTAGTGTGAAGAAAGCAATGCCCCCGAGTCGCTGGGCCTTGGAGGCTGCGTTGCTGTTGGGAGGGTCTCCTCTCCCTCCTGTCCACATGCGGGCCGGGGGGCCGGGTCCTGTCAGTGTCCGTGCTTGCGGCTGAAGCATGCGTGCGCCATACCACTTGCACGAGAAAAGCTTTCTTCAAACGCAAAAGGCACTTTTCTCACAGCCCCCTGCCCCATTGTGACGCCCGTCCTGACGGTCCTGCTCCCGTTGCAGATAAACCCGAGGAGATCGTACCGGCCTCCAAGCCATCCCGGGCTGCTGAGAGCGTGGCGCTGGAGTCCAGGGTGGCCACCATCAAGCAGCGGCCCACCAGCCGGTGCTTCCCCTCCGTCTCGGACATGAACGTGAGTGGTCACCCCCCCACCCCGGCGTCCACACCCGGAGCCCTGATGTGAGCGCACAGGCGGGCACCCCAGTGCGGGGCAGACCGCAGCAGAGGACGGACCACTCACCGTGGACCCGCTCCCTTGGCACTGAGGGTCCTCCCACAAGACACCTGCAGTAAAGCCAGCCTCCCGGTGGAAGACGCCCAGCCCCACCCTCGTGGCAAGCTGAATCCCAGCACGCACGGGGGGCCCTGCCTCTCCGAGGTCTCAGGCCCCCGTGAGTCCCAGGGGCCGAGTCCCGCCTGCAGTGGCGGAGACCACCACGGCCGCCAGCGCGAGCCGAGCCCAGGAGGCTGCTGCTCTCAGGTCCCAGACACGCCCCTCTGCACCCCAGCTTCGAACCTGCGGCCAGAGCTGAGCACTCTCCGTGACACTTAAGTATTTTCTCTGACTCCGCTTCCGGCTGACTCACTCTGTTTAACCTTGCCTTTTCTTCATAATGCCGAACCGGCACGCCCAGATGGCAAAGAATCTGCCTGCATTGCCGGAGACCTGGGTTCAATCCCTGGGTTGGGAAAATTCCCTGGAGAAGGGAAGGGCAATCCACTCCAGTATTCTTGCCTGGAGAATCCCATGGACAGAGGAGCCTGGCGGGCTACAGGGGGTTGCAGACAGTCGGACACAACTGGGCAACTAACACTTGCACTTTTTTTCACCTTTCTTAATAATACCCATGAGTGTTGTTAATTTGATGTGCCGGTTTTCTGTAATACACGTTATTAGTAACAGGATGTTCACGCTGCCCCCCCCCATCTCAGACACTCCGGAGGCGGCTGCCCTTCGTGGTAGCCCCATACCCACCCTGTCCCAGAGATTCCAAGCCCAGCACCCGGCAACAGAGGAGAGTCGGCCTGGCGGAGGCCCAGAGCCCTGTGAGGCGGGGTCTCAGAGAGGCAGACCCCTTAAAGCGTGCGCCCGGGTGTCCTTTGGGCTCTAATCCATCTGTGCCCTGAGCCACCCTCCAATGCCTCCGGGTAGGGGCCGGCCAGCAACCTCGGCTTTACAGTCCAGAAGCAGCAGGTGGGGTGGGGGCCGGCCAGGGGGTCTGCTCCCAGTGCAAAGGAGGGGCGTGCCAGGCTCCTCCTGGGCCGGGGAGAAGGGCAGCGCCTCCGCAGGTCCCACATGCTCACTCGCTCTGCACCGCGCTCGGCGGGCTCTCCACCGCAGCCACTGCCATCTGCCGCCCTTGGAGGCAGACGTGGCCGGGGTCCGACGCCCAGCGCCGGATGCACTTTCCTCCAGGACGCGTGTCCTGGCCCTTCTCTTGCTCAGTCGACGTCAGGCAGATCTCGGCTCCACCCAGCAGGGTCCACCAGGGTTTTGAGGGCAAGGAGGGCCCCCTTCTGAGTCCTGGATGCTCGGGTGCTCCTAGGACAGCTGGGGAGAACCAGGGGGCAGGGCTCTGTGTCTGCTGGCCGCGGGGGGCTGGTCCGCCATGTCCCACTCGGCTCTCCGGTTTGCAGTCCATGTACGAACGCCAGGGCATCGCCGTGATGACGCCCACCGTCCCCGGGAGCCCGAAGGGCCCGTTCCTGGGCCTCCCTCGAGGTACGATGCGAAGGCAGAAGTCAATAGGTAAGCAGAACAGCCACGCCCACAGAGGTGGCCCTGGGCCCTCGGCGGGGCCCCTCCGTGACCCCACGCCTGCCCACTGGAGGGCACCCTAGGGAGCCCCTGACCCTCTGAAACTTCCCTGCCCTCTGGAGTCCAAATCCAAGGTGACTTCCGACCTCACAAGCCAAGTATCCGTGATGATACCAGCGGGGCGGGGGAGGTCCACAGTCCAGGGTGGGTGGCGGTGGCCAGGTGAGGGTCAGGGGTCCCCTCACCCCCACCCCGCGTGGTCAGTGACCAGCAGGGTGGGCCCACACCCCTGTGGACGGCCACTGCCGCGTTTGGGGGTGCGCTCGGCGGACACACTACGTGGGGTGGCTGAGCCAGCTTCTCACTCCCTGAGAGGACAGTACCGTGGCAGGCGGGGACTGCTGCCTTCTCATTGACATCACATGCTTCCTACTGACTGTTCCGAGTGAGGTCAACACCGCCCCTAAACCCAGCCCTTCTGACAGTCCAGCCCGGCCTGTGCTGCGTGAATTCCCAGAGGCCCTGCGGACCCTGGGCGTTCGGCCCCGCCGCATGTCGAGCACTGGGGCTGCCCCAGCGGCGCCGTGGCCAGTCGGAGGGGGACCGCGGCGGGCAGGACCTGGGCGGTGAGGGACGGCGGAGGTGGCGTCTGCGGGTCCTCAGTCCCCCCTGCCCCTGAGGAGTTCAGGGCGCACACGCCATCTCCTGCCGTGGCTCTCGAACTGGTCAATAACAATCCATTTCCTCCTGTCAGACAGCAGAATCTTTCTATCAGGTTAGTGAACCTTGCGGTTTGGAGTCTGTCACGTGAATGTAATGGTTTCCTCCATAAGGCGTATTCGTAAATCACTCCTTGGGAGGTGCACGGGGCCACGGGCTGCGTCCCTGCCCTGCCGGGATGCCCTCCCACGGAGAGCCGTGTGAGATTTGGAATACCCTTATCGAGCAGAAGTTTTCTTTGGGATAAGCTTCCGGAGTCTGTCCTAGGAGCTTTTTTGATTTGAAGTTCTCTCTTCTGTTACCGCTTTGAAAACCCTGCATGGCCCCCCCATGGGATCCGCGTACCTGCCGTCTGTCCACATCTATGTCCTGCTTCCCGGGTCCAGAGTGCGTCCTGTTGATGTTTTTTATATCTTGAACTGTCGGAAGAAACCTGGAAGCCCACCTAAAGGGCACACCAGAGCTCTGGGCCCCAACATGGCCGTCTCCCTCCCCCGTGGGTCCCCAGGACCCTCTCACCCAGCCCCACAGGCTTCACTGGGTCTAGTCGTCCAGTGTGACCGTAGTGAGTGGGGACCATGGTGAACTCCCAGGCCCATCAGCCCAGCCCAGAGGGTCTCAGGACCCAGAGGGGCTGTGTTCGCTCAGGATGCTACTCCTGGGGTCCTGGTTAGAGCGTTGGAGCCACCCAGCCATCCTCCTGGGGGCCCAGGACCCTTGGGGGGGGGGAATCACATGCTTCCTACTGACTGTTCCGAGTGAGGTCAACACCGCCCCTAAACCCAGCCCTTCTGACAGTCCAGCCCGGCCTGTGCTGCGTGAATTCCCAGAGGCCCTGCGGACCCTGGGCGTTCGGCCCCGCCGCATGTCGAGCACTGGGGCTGCCCCAGCGGCGCCGTGGCCAGTCGGAGGGGGACCGCGGCGGGCAGGACCTGGGCGGTGAGGGACGGCGGAGGTGGCGTCTGCGGGTCCTCAGTCCCCCCTGCCCCTGAGGAGTTCAGGGCGCACACGCCATCTCCTGCCGTGGCTCTCGAACTGGTCAATAACAATCCATTTCCTCCTGTCAGACAGCAGAATCTTTCTATCAGGTTAGTGAACCTTGCGGTTTGGAGTCTGTCACGTGAATGTAATGGTTTCCTCCATAAGGCGTATTCGTAAATCACTCCTTGGGAGGTGCACGGGGCCACGGGCTGCGTCCCTGCCCTGCCGGGATGCCCTCCCACGGAGAGCCGTGTGAGATTTGGAATACCCTTATCGAGCAGAAGTTTTCTTTGGGATAAGCTTCCGGAGTCTGTCCTAGGAGCTTTTTTGATTTGAAGTTCTCTCTTCTGTTACCGCTTTGAAAATCCTGCATGGCCCCCCCATGGGATCCGCGTACCTGCCGTCTGTCCACATCTATGTCCTGCTTCCCGGGTCCAGAGTGCGTCCTGTTGATGTTTTTTATATCTTGAACTGTCGGAAGAAACCTGGAAGCCCACCTAAAGGGCACACCAGAGCTCTGGGCCCCAACATGGCCGTCTCCCTCCCCCGTGGGTCCCCAGGACCCTCTCACCCAGCCCCACAGGCTTCACTGGGTCTAGTCGTCCAGTGTGACCGTAGTGAGTGGGGACCATGGTGAACTCCCAGGCCCATCAGCCCAGCCCAGAGGGTCTCAGGACCCAGAGGGGCTGTGTTCGCTCAGGATGCTACTCCTGGGGTCCTGGTTAGAGCGTTGGAGCCACCCAGCCATCCTCCTGGGGGCCCAGGACCCTTGGGGGGGGGGGGCCCAGATGAGTCAGGCAATGAAACAGGCCCTTGTTGAGCGGACGAGGCTGCCCCAGGGCCTGCACCCCCGCAGGATGTCGGTGCTGTGATGCCCCCGGGCAGCAGCCCCTTCCACCTCCCTCAACCAGTACAGCAGCTGGTATGCCCTTTGTCTCGCTTCCAGTGGGCAGCTCCACAGCCTCAGTCCTAAACCCCAGAATGCCCCCCGGGCACCCTGGCCAGGTCTGAAGGAATAGAAGCCCCTGATCTCAGCTATCCGCCCCGCCCCACACACACACACACACGCACACACACATGCATACGTGCAGTCCCGAGGAGTGGGGCACCCTCACCGCCCCGGATCACACCACTGCCCTGGGGAACTTGGAGGGCCGCGCCCGGGGAGGTGGGCGGCCCCATGCCCACATCCTCGTCCCCCAGGTCCGTGGACAGGAAGGCTGGGGAGCTCCTCCAGCCGCTTCTACCAGGTTGCAGACGGCCCCAGAGAGACAGGACACCCCGCAGACAGGTGGGCTCAGCAGCACACACTCTGGGCCTCCCGGCGCCTCTCCATTTTTTGGCTCGGAACGGGCCGCATGACCTCTTGACGTTGTGGCTTGCGTGCTGTGTTCCGTGAACCAATGTGCATCGTGATTCCGTGTGAGTTTGGAGGAGACTTAGCGTGTCACACTGCCCTCGGAGCGTCGCGGGCAGTGTGTCCTCTCCGTGATGTAAGTCTAAACCTGTCTTCTGCTTGTAGGGATAACGGAGGAGGAGCGTCAGTTTCTGGCCCCGCCCATGCTCAAGTTCACCAGAAGCCTGTCCATGCCGGACACCTCCGAGGACATCCCGCCTCCGCCGCAGTCGGTGCCCCCGTCGCCGCCGCCACCCTCCCCCACCGCCTACAACTGCCCCAAGTCCCCGACCCCGCGGGTCTACGGGACGATCAAGCCCGCCTTCAACCAGAACCCCAGCGCCAAGGTGTCCCCGGCCGCCCGCTCCGACACGGTGGCCACCATGGTGCGGGAGAAGGCGCTCTACCACCGGCGGGAGGGCGACCGCTACTCCCTGGACTCGGAGGATCTCTACAGTCGCGGCGCCGGGCCCCAGGCCAACTTCCGCGGCAAGAGGGGCCAGATGCCCGAGAACCCGTACTCCGAGGTGGGGAAGATCGCCAGCAAAGCCGTGTACGTGCCGGCGAAGCCCGCGCGGCGGAAGGGCATGCTGGTGAAGCAGTCCAACGTGGAGGACAGCCCCGAGAAGACGTGCTCCATCCCCATCCCCACCATCATCGTCAAGGAGCCCTCCACCAGCAGCAGCGGCAAGAGCAGCCAGGGCAGCAGCGTGGAGACCGACCCGCAGGCCCCGGAGCAGCCTGGCCAGCTGCGGCCGGATGACAGTCTGACCGTCAGCAGCCCCTTCGCCGCCGCCATCGCCGGGGCCGTCCGCGACCGCGAAAAGCGGCTGGAGGCCCGGAGGAACTCCCCGGCCTTCCTGTCCACGGACCTGGGGGACGAGGACGTGGGCCTCGGGCCGCCCGCCCCCCGGGCGCGCCCCTCCAAGTTCCCCGAGGAGGGCGGCTTCGGCGAGGAGGACGGCGGGGAGCCGCTGTCGTCACCAGCGCCCCGGGAGCCCGAGAACCACTTTGTGGGTGCCGGCGAGGCCGGAGCTCAGGGTGAGGCTGGCAGGCTGCCGAACGCCCCGGGCCAGGCCAAGGCGCCGGAGGGCAGCCCCGCGGCGCCCCCCCGGANACCGCCGCCGCCGCCGCGCCCGGCAGGACCGTCGTAGCGGCGGGCTCCGTGGAGGAGGCGGTGGTCCTGCCGTTCCGCATCCCTCCCCCGCCTCTGGCCTCCGTGGACCTGGACGAGGATTTTATTTTCACAGAGCCATTGCCTCCTCCCCTGGAATTTGCCAATAGTTTTGATATCCCCGATGACCGGGTTGCTTCTGTCCCCGCTCTCTCAGACCTGGTCAAGCAGAAAAAAAATGACACCTCCCAGTCCCCTTCCTTGAACTCCAGCCAGCCAACCAACTCTGCAGACAGTAAGAAGCCGGCTGGTCTCTCAAACTGTCTGCCCACCTCATTCCTGCCGCCCCCTGAAAGCTTTGATGCCGTCACGGACTCCGGGATCGAGGAGGTGGACAGCCGGAGCAGCAGCGACCACCACCTCGAGACGACCAGCACCATTTCCACGGTGTCCAGCATCTCCACCCTGTCCTCCGAGGGCGGGGAGAATGCGGACACCTGTACAGTCTATGCAGACGGGCAAGCCTTTATGGTTGACAAACCCCCAGTACCTCCCAAGCCAAAAATGAAGCCCATAATCAACAAAGGCAACACCCTCTACCACGACGCGCTGCTGGAGGAGGACGTGGACAGCTTCGTGATCCCCCCACCTGCACCTCCGCCGCCGCCTGGCGGGGCCCAGCCTGGCTCCACAAAGGTCATCCAGCCAAGGACCTCCAGGTTGTGGGGGGACGTCTCGGAGGTCAAAAGTCCGATTCTCTCAGGCCCAAAGGCGAACGTGATTAGTGAGTTAAACTCAATCCTGCAGCAAATGAACCGAGAGAAATCGGCAAAGCCAGGGGAAGGACTGGACCCGACACCGGGAACCAAGCCCGCCGGCCTCACCCCCAGGTAAGTGCCCGCGATGGGCGTTCCTCATCCAGCGCTGACCAGGAAGTGCCCCGGGGAGCAGAGGCACTCCCGAAGCGGATCCAGGAGGGCACACCCAGAGCCGGCCGTGTCGGCCTCCTTTCTCCTGGCCTGGACTCTGGTGCCGCGGACCCCCACGCAGAGATGGGCCATGAGACCTGGCCACACAAGCCGTCCCCGCCGTGGCTTCGAGGGAGGAGCCCCGCTCTCTCGCCCCCCATCCTCCAGATCCACCAGAACCCCGAAGGGGCCATTCTGGAACCCACCCAGGAGGTTTCAGGGGAGGGAGCGCACTAGCCAGGGGGTACATGGGCAGCGTGCGATCGAGGGTGTGTCGGGGCCTCTGACCCCCTCCCCCCGTCACTACCTGGTCTGGGCTGGGGAGGAGTCTGTTCTGGACCCGCTGCCCCAAGTGAAGACCCCAGAGCCCACCCTGAGCAGGGCACGCGTCATGGGAGAAGAGCGTGCAGTCGTGCCCACGTGGGCGCTCACAGTGTTGGGGCAGAGTGTGAGGTCCCACCTTCTCGGAACGGGGGACACACACAGGGCCCTGGTCCCAGACCCAAGCCTCGGGGCTCTGCCAGGCCCCCACTCGAGCCCATGCTTCCCACCCTCAATCTCTGCGCTCGGTTTCCCTCACCCGAAACACACACCGCTTCCCGGGTCCCCCAGGCAGCATTCTCCTGTCCTCCCGCTGGTCTTTAATCCCGGGTTTCACTGTTGCAACTAACGAGGTCGTTCTTTGTACGCCTACTGGGCAAGGCATTTGACTCAAATACCCAAGTCCATCCATCAGTAATCCTGAAGGACGGTGGGGTCCTGAGAGCCGCGACTTCCCTGCTCTCTTTCGATGTGGGTCAACCAAGTCACACGGCCGGATCATGGTCCTCCTCGGAGTGCTAATAGGCCAGCATCCACAGAGAGAAGCATGCCAACCAGCACCGTTTTCAAGGGGGCCCTCATCGTAACTGTGGCGTTCAGAGTCCTTCCAGGCTCCCCGATTCCGAGAGACGCGTGGATGCATGCATGCGTTACACATTTGAGGGGCACAAGGAAATATCATGGAACGGCGCCAGTCTTTAGTTGCTAGGTTATGTGAAAATACAACAATCAAGATGCTTTATCTGTGTTTCACATTTGACAAAACCCTTGGATGTGGGTGAATAATGTTTCTAACAGCTGCTGGGGAGCAGGTGGTAGTAACCCATTTCTCGGAAGGGGCAATGGAGATGCAGAGAGGCCGGCAGCCTGTCCACGGGCACGGGCAGTGGCGGACAGAGCCGGGGCAGGCCGAGGGCTTCTGACCAGCGTGTCCGTCACAGTGACATCCGCGATACGAAGACGTGCAAGTCATCTCCTCTGGGCAGCGTGGGGGGCAGCGTGCTCCACAGGGCACTCCCTCCAGAGGCTGGGCCCTCTCTGACTGTGGGCCTCCCTCACCCCTCTCCTGGCTGGGTGAGCTGCTCGGGGCTCATGGCAGAGGGGTCTCAGCAGCAGGCATCCCTGGGGTTGGCCTGGGTGGGAGATGCCTCAGAGCAGAGGTCAGCTGGTAGAGTCCTGATGGACTTGAAGGGTTCAGGCCCTGCCTTGTGATCGACCCCAGTCTTTTCTATTATTTATAACTCAGTGCACACGGCACAAGCAGTCACTGACATCTACGCACTCCCAGCTGCAGGGCCCCGGGCAGCACAGGCCCAGAGGTGGGGCCTGAACACGTTCCCGGGGTGCAGACAGGAGAACCGGGGTCAGAGGGCGGAGCACTTGGTCACGAGCCCTCAGCTGGAAGGCACAGTAGCAGACCTCCAGGTCAGGGAGCTGCCTCGGGGTTCCACTTCTCTGCTCTCCTGGAGCCATGAATCAGCCTGGAAGGAGGGTCACCCAGCAGAACGCCCACAGGCCCGAGCTTACCAGGGCAGGGCTCTCCTGAGGCCTCTGGAGCCCCTCAAGTCCAGTCTTCCATGCTTATCTGGAGACTGAGACCCTGCAGGGTGGTCCCCAGGCGTCTCCGCACACGGCCCGCCGCCCCCGGGGCAGCAGCCCCTTCCTCCCTGCTCACTGCCAAGGGCTGCAGTGAGTGGGACCAGGAAACTGAGGCCTGGGCTTCAGCCAGCCAGGCACCAGAGCCCAGGACCTTCCCAGCCAGGGCGCATCTGCCTGGATGTCTCAGCCCTACTTTTAAGTGCATCTAAAAATTAAGAGCTTGTGTGCAGCCCTGGGCAAAATGAGGCACAAAATTAGATGAAGAGAATTCCTATTGAAGGAAAAGAAATGAGCTTTTCTAGGGAAAAGCTGAAAACCCGCCACGCTCTTTGAAATGATGGACGAGCAGAGGTGCACACTCATTCCCATAGAAACGGCCTGAGCGCCCCAGGGCCACCCCCGGGCGTCTGACCACTGCGAGGGCAGAGACCAGGGGCAGATTTGCCCCGCTTTCACTCGTGGTTCCTCCTTCGCTCCCGCTGCTGCAGCCCAGGCCCAGGTCAGGAGGAAGACGCTGAGCACCCAGGCCCTTGCTCGCTGGGGTCCAAGACGAGCCTGAGCCCTGAGTTTCTGCTGCTATGATGAGTCCCCAGAAATCAGGGATGACATGGGCTCTGCCACCGTCCTGATTGCAGACACGCTGGCGGGAGGCCGAGGCCCGTCCCACTGCCCCCTGACTCCCACGCAGCTGCGGCTTCTCCCCAGGCCTCATCCAGAAGCACCCCCTCACCCTTGAGGGGGGCATGCAGGGCTGGAGACAGGGCTCCTCTGGCTGCCCTGGCTGAGTTCCCCAGGAAGGATCTCATCTCTAGACAGAGCGTCCACCAAGATTGAAGCAAAGCTTTGCTCAGGCTGGTGCCACCTCGGGGCGAGTCAGCCGCCCTCCAGCTCAGCGCCGGCCCATGCCCCCTTCCAAGGAACGCCCAAGCACCGCCGACACCCCAAGGATGACCTCCCTGCCTGCGCGGCCTGCTCTCAGAACCCTTTGGTACCCCAGACACATGGGCACGCACCCCTCACTTCAGGACACAGGATGAGTTCCTCCAAGTCACAGAGCTGAGAAGCCAGAGGGACGCTCACCTCTGGCCCCGGAGCCACAGCCCAGCCCCGCGACCTCCCATGGGGCTCTCTGCAGGTCCACGGTCACGGCGGCCCGGGCCGCCAGGAACAGATCACCCCATGTGTGCCAGGCACTGTGCCGGGCCCCAGGACTCCTCGCCAAACAAGGAGACATCCACGGTCTCTGCCCCTTTGAAAAGCTACATTCTCAAGGGGAAGCAGATATGAAAAAAGACGACAAACCCAAAGTGCGCAGCGCGAACTACAGAGGGACGAAGATGTCCCAATGAATCATGGCCGTGGGCAGGGTGGAAGGAAGTGGCGTTTGAACCACCTGAGAGACAGCTGGGCGGGAACCCGGGAGCAGGGCGTCCAGGCGCCGGGACCAGCAAGCACGAAGCCGGGGGGCCGGCAGGTGTTCCCCACCCGGAAGAAACTGCCCAGAGCAGAGGGAGGGGCTGTGAGGACGGTCTCGGAGCATCTTGCGTGCCGAGGCGGAGGGCTGTGTCTGAGTGGTGGCAGCCCTCGAGGACTTAAGCAAAGGCTTGGCACGACCTGACTTGCATTTCATGAAGCTGACCAAGCAGCTGTTTGGTCAGCGGGTCATGGTGACGCAGGGAAACCCAGAAGCAGACCCGTGTGCGGTCCCGGGGTCTCCGCTCTGGTGACAGACCCCGGGTAGATGGGAGTTTGACATATGCGCTTTGACCTAAAACAAAGGGCCTTGAGTCAGAAGACCATCATTTTTTTTAAAGCAAGACAGCTCTGCTTTGCCCATCCTCCCACGGGGAGCAGGAGGTCAGTGTGGGTTTGGCTTTCGTTCTCTGGCCGTTGGGAGGAGGATCAGAGCCACAAGTGGATGCTTGCAGGAGACCCCACTGCCTTCCATCCAGGGGGCGCAGCATCGGTTGACCCTCCAGGAGCCCCTCTGGATCCCCTCACTCTCCTGGGTCCTCTGGAGGAACCCGGGATGGGCCTTCACCTCCTGGAGGTGCCGATGGAGCTCCAGGTCCCCCGGGGCAGGTGGGGTTCAGGCTGCCTGTCGGTGCAGCACTGCCCAGTCCCCAGGGGGTGCCCGCGCTGAGCACCCACACCCACTGCCTGGCCCAGCGGGCACCTCTAGCTCCTTGCTGGGCTCTCGGCAGTATCATCCTGAGAGCCTCTTGGTTTTAAAATAAATCAATTTGGGTTGTTAAAAAATTATCTCTGCCCAGCTGGTCCCAGAGCACAGACTCTGGAACTGACTCGATAATGGAAGGCGCTTAATGGCACTTTTATCACGGCAGCGCCGTCACGGAGGTTTTCTCATTTCATGGCAGCAACTGAAACACTGAGGGAGTGTCAGTGACTGGAATCATGGGTGATTAGGTGAACGCGCGCCGCTGTGTTCCCTCGTACTCGGTACATACAGAGGCTGTTCTGGTCCGACTGCAGCAGCTTATCCTTCAAGGGCCATCCACAATTCAGCCTGGTCACCAGGACCCCTCAGCCAACGTGTGTCGGGGGTTGGCCACTGCCCGCTGAAGACCGGGTGCATTCTCAACCTGCTCGGGTGTGTCAGACGGGCTGCTGAACCCGAGGCGGCCTCGCGGCCCCCACGTCCGGCTCCGCTTGCCGACCTGGCCAAGTCACATAACTTCCTGACTTGGTCTGCCAGCTGCCCACATCCATGTCCCCCGCCTCGGTTCACTCCACAGTTCTCAGCTGGACCCCCATGCATGCCAGGCCCAGGACGCAGACCCGCCGGGGCCCTTACGGTCACCTTCCCACTCTTTTTAGTGCCCAACCTTTAGAAACGTTACAAAGACAGAACTTAGACCAGTTTGGAAATCGGCGCCGTTTCACACACACGACAGGGATGCATCACACAAACTCGACAGTGACCACACGGGACGCAGGGGCCGGCGGGGCGTGCTGGGGAATCTCTGCAGAGAGGGCTCAGAACTCCGAGACCACCTCGCTGGGCAGCCTCCGGCCCACAGCCAGGCACTGTCCAGGGGCCGAACCGCGTCTATAAACACGATGAAAAGGCCCCTTGAGCCCTGGCTTTCCCCTTCCCCAGGCAACTTGTGCTGACTGATAAAATAACAGCGCATCTCTGAGTGTGTCATTAACTCTTGATTTCTGTTTCAATGCTCATGTTTCCATATGGATTGGATTGAAGAGGCAGGATAGAGAGTAATAATCCAAGAGAGGGCGTGTGTGCGCGAGTGTGTGTGTCTGTGTTTCTAAATCGGGGCAACAGATTCTTGTGTGTTCCACCCGGGAACCCAGCGGTTGCTTAGCAACGAAACAGTCTCCGCAACCGGGAGACCCAGTGAATAATACCCATCTGATTAACTGAGAGTAAACCAAGCCACCGAGGAGGAGGGCGGGATGGACCACCCCGGGTGACCTCCACGCAGCGCCTCGAACGCTTTGGTGCCTCTTTTCCGTAGCGACGTCCCACGGGGCCGTGGGCAGGCTCCCAGCACAGAGCCAGATCTGACGCCCCCTTTATCAGCTGCCGGCCTCTCAGCCCTCAGCGCGGACTTGACGCAAAGCCCGGCCTGCCTGAGCAAGCGTGCGGAGGATTGCTGCCTCCTAGGCTGCAGAAGACAGAGGGCAGCCGGGAGCCCGGGTCTGGGTGCCAGCGGGAAGCTGGCTCCCAGGCCCGCACGGGGAGGCTGACGCCCCCTCTCAGCATCCTCCTGGTCTCGGTCTGTGCTCACTCCCCCGGCCACGCAGGGCAGACGCGTGAGCTTCCCCCGCCGAACACGCAGAGTCAGGCCCCTCTGGCATTCTCCTCCAGGCAGCTGCGTGCACTGCCCACCCCACTCTGCAGCCAAAGAGGGCCCAGCATCCGGGCCTCCGCCTTCATCTCGTCCGAGAGAAGCTGCTTTTTTTAATTGTCATTAATTTTGCAGTGTTGTCTCAACCCGCTCCCTCCTGTTTCCATCTGCTCCCGTGACGGGTGGTAACAGAAGAGGGTCGTGCTGAAGAGACGTAAGTGCCGCGTGCAGAGCCCCCTTCTCTCTGGCGTGCTTTCCTGTCCCTCGGTCTCACTGCCCACCGTGGTCTGCTTCTGACGCCGCACCCGGCTGCCTGCAGGGCCCTCTTTCTAAAGGGCATCCCAGCTACCTGGGAATCGCTGGGGTGTTCCCCAGGGTGGGGTGGTGCTCACGCCCACCCTCTGGGCTGAGAGAGACCCACGGGTAAGTGTGGCCTGGCTCTAAAGAGCTGCTGTCACGGGGGGATTAACCTGCCTCCATGTCACAAAGCCAGCAAGCAAGGCCACCTCCCGACGGGACAGCCCGGCAGGTGGGCCCGGTCAGGGCCACAGGGGGGCACGGTGCGCTCCTGAGAGACGCCCACCCACTGCGTGGAAGGCCGTCTGCACCCGGAAGGTCCCTCTGCGCCCGGAAGGTCCCTCTGCGCCCAGAAGGCCCTCTGCGCCCAGAAGGTCCCTCTGTCCACGGAAGGCCCTCTGCGCCCAGAAGGCCCTCTGTGCCCGGAAGGTCCCTCTGTGCCCGGAAGGTCCCTGTGCCCAGAAGGTTCCTCCGCCCGGAAGGCCCCTCTGTCCACGGAAGGTCCCTCTGCACGGAAGGTCCCTCTGTCCACAGAAGGTCCCTCTGTCCATGGAAGGCCCTCTGCGCCCGGAAGGCCCTCTGCACCCGGAAGGTCCCTCCGCCCGGAAGGTCCCTCTGTGCCCGGAAGGTCCCTCCGCCCGGAAGGTCCCTCTGTGCCCGGAAGGCCCTCTGCACCCGGAAGGCCCCTCTGGGTGGAGCGGCCCCACCCCCACTCGGGTCCCTCCAGCTGCCTGGCTGCCGTCAGTGGTTGCAGTGAGCCTCCCCCAGCAGAGGGGAGACAGGACCCCTCAGTGGGGACTGCAGTGCATCTTCGGTCCGACCTGGGCCCCAGAATCTGCAGGCTTCTTAAATCCTTGCTGTGTGCACGGCACATCTCTTTCCCCTTGACTAGGGTCAGGGGGTGGGGCTCTCCCGCTCCCTGCCTGTGACGCCCTGGACCAGCAGGGCTCCCATTTCTTCATCCTGAATGGGGGGTCATCCTCAGAGGCCGCCTGGGGCTGCCCTGCCCTGCCAGCACCAGTGCAGCCAGTAACCAAGGCCCCTGGAGGTTCTCAACGGAGTGTCTCCTATGTGCAGCATCCAGTCCTGGAGCCCCTGACCCTCCAGGAAACCACACGGGAAGCCCTGGGGGTGGATCGGGGTCCGGCCGCAGGCATCCCCCAGGCCAGGGAAATGCTTCTCCCAGGACAGGATCAGAGCCCGAGTATGGCACAGGCCCCTCCTTCAGACCACGTGCAGGCTCCACGCTTGACCCAGCGCCCAGTGGGGAAGGGCCAGGAGGCTGAGGCTTCCTGTAACCCACCCACCACCCCTCACACACACACACACACACACACAGGGCAGAAAAAACACAGACAGACACACACACACACACACAGCAGAGAACAGACAGCCGCACAGCCTCAGAACAGGGTGCAGGCAGGCTGGGCTCCGACCCCGACCGTTTCATCGGATGGGGCAGCACCCAGGAGCCGCGGGGCATCCCACTCTGAAGCGGCCAGCCTGCAAGGTGCCCTTCCCCGCCCTTTTCCTGTAAAGCCAGAAAGCCTTGGGTCTGACAGGCGATGAGGAGGAGGGGTCTCCTAATGGGTTCCCTTCCTTGAAGTGGAGGCAAACGCCGCCGCTCCTCGGGCGGCATGGTGACACAGCGGGACTGGGCCCTGGCCGCCCGGCTCCTCTGTGCCCACCCGCCCCTGGTCTGGCAAGGTGTGTGCTCTCTGCCGGCACGCTGGCCCTCAGACGCCCTGCTGTGGTTTCGGTGCCCCCCTCCCCCCAGAGACCACGTCCTCGTCTGCTTTGTGATCGGACTTGTAATGGTTTTCTCTGTTGCTGCTGTTTCAGAGGCCCCGAGGTCATGAGCACCGTCTCAGGAACGCGGAGCACGACAGTCACCTTCACCGTTCGCCCTGGGACCTCCCAGCCCATCACCCTGCAGAGCCGGCCCCCGGACTACGAGAGCAGGAACTCAGGACCCAGACGCGCCCCCAGCCCTGTGGTCTCGCCAACAGAGCTGAGCAAAGAGGTCCTGCCCACCCCCCTGCCCGCCGCCACTGCGGCCCCCTCACCCACCCTCTCGGATGTCTTCAGCCTTCCGAGCCAGCCCCCGCCCGGGGACCTGTTTGGCTTGAACCCAGCGGGACGCAGCAGGTCGCCGTCCCCCTCCATCCTGCAACAGCCAATCTCCAATAAGCCTTTTACAACTAAGCCTGTCCACCTGTGGACTAAACCCGATGTGGCAGACTGGCTGGAAAGTCTAAACCTGGGTGAACATAAAGAGGCCTTCATGGACAATGAGATCGATGGCAGCCACCTCCCAAACCTCCAGAAAGAAGACCTCATAGATCTGGGCGTGACTCGAGTCGGGCACAGAATGAACATAGAAAGGGCTCTCAAACAGCTGCTGGACAGATAAGGGTGGCTGCTCCTTTCCGCCACAGACTCCTTGTTATAAATAGAGATGGGCTTGCACTGAGATGTTTGGATGGTGAGCGCCAACCCCGTTCCGTGGGCTGGTCTCCTGGGGACCCAGAGAAGCGTGTGTGTCCGTGGCGTGGCTGAGCCGAGGCCTTCCAGCCCCGGCTTTCTGTGTGGGCTCCTTTGGGCTGTTTCTGTCAAAGAGGGGACCGGGGAGGGGTCCTTCCGAGGTGGCGAGGGACGCGTGCGCAGCCTGCCTCCTGCGCGCAGGCGACCTGGCCTCGCCCGGCCCAGGAGCTGCTCGGCCCGTGCGGGCACCGTGCTCCAACAGGCAGGCGCCCCTGCACTCTAGACACATACCTCCCGCGGCCTCCCTGCGCGCCTGGCGGCCCGCGGCCCAGCGCCAGGGCCCTCCTTTGTCTGCGGCCTCTCGAGGGCACGCGGTGCTCACGCGCTCCTTTTCTTTCCTGGACGTGGCTCGCAGCGAGACGCCCACCGACGCGCATACCCGGTGCCCTTCCTGGAAGGTGGAGAAACGTCTCCCCTCCTCTGCGGATCCTTTCCCGCCCCTCCAACGTGCACCCGTGCTTCTCTGGCCCGTTGAGGCTCTTGGCAGTGATGGGCTGTTCTGAATGGGATCGTGCCCAGCTTTGCTTAGCTTTCCTTCTTTCTGCAAGTCTGTTAGCATAATTCCAAAGTGGCCAAACAGATGTCACGTGGAGTTAGTCGAAGCACAAAGTCACGATTCCAGGCGGAGGGAGGCCCGGCTGCCCGCGCACGGCTCCAGGGCCAGCGTGTCCCCCGGCGGAAGCAGCTGTCAGCCGGGAGCGGCTGTCCAGAAGCGTGGGAAGGGGCTTCTCTGCCTTTCAGCATTCTTTAAATTGAAAGGTGTGTTGAATTCTGCAGACCTCAGAGCAGGTGAGCATCCACTGACACGCGGGACGACACAAGGTCCACGGTGGGCATGGCTGCTGCTGGGGGCCCTGGCCCCCTCCATCTCGGAGCCCCGCCGAGGGCAAGCATCACTGCTGAGACAGCCCTTTCGTCCTCTGAGGCCAGGGAAGACGGTACCGAGGGGCCTTCCCCCTTTTCCTCTGAGTGTCCAGGATCCCCACCAGCTTGTCTTAATAGTACAACAGGTTTTCAGAAAACCCAGTGGGCGTGGCACACAGACAGGACCCAGGGTGAGGGTGCAAAGCAGAGAGAGGAAGGAAGGACAGAGCAGGGAGGTCTGGTGGGCAGCAGTCTGGCCTCCAGCAAGGCTTTCCTGGGCCTTGCGCCCTTCATTCCCCCAGAACGCCCTTCCTTGTGACAATACCTCTGATCTCCACGGGAGGTCGCCACCGGCACCCGAGTCTCAGAACACCCAGTCAGGAGTCAGCACGTCCTCCCACATGTGGAAGAATGTCAAGTTTTTGGCTTTTATTATGATTTCAGAACTAGCCTAGCCCATCTCTAATTATAAAAACATGATTTTTTTTTCCTTTTTTTCTTTATGCTCACAATCAAGTGTCTGGTTAGGTCTGGAACAGCTCTAGAATGAACACGTAAAATTTAGCAATTTAAAATCTTTCTTTACTGCAAGTTTAAATAGTTGTACAGATAGTTTATAAGCACAATATTTTAAGGAAAAAAAGTGGCTGGTCTACTAGGCAGCCTTTGTGCCACTTCAGTGCTAGAAAGTTAAAGAAAAACAAACTTTTGTGATTTAATACTACTATTTCTGTGGAATAATTATAAAAGTATGACCTTTTTAAATCAACCTTATTGGATGCATCTGAACCAGCAGAGCTGTGTTATATTTTCTATCTTTGCTAGAACTTCGTCATCGAAGGACAATTATTTCTTCAAAAGTGGTTGTAATTCACAATGCAGAAGTTTTCTGCAAAAACAAACACACTCACCACACACACAATTTTTCCAGCCAATGTCCCTGAATTGGAAATTGAGTTTTGGACCTTCTGTTCCAAAACCTATTGCAGGTCAATCTTGGTATCTGAACGAAATCAATTTAATATTAAGGTGTTTTACTTCCATGTACTTTCGATTTTTCCATCATGAGATGAATATAACCCCAGAGAAGTTTCAAGCCAACATACTGCGGGTGGCCTGCTAAGGCTGCCGACAGTTCGGAAAGTGTGAGATGGTGATTTGGCCCTCATCTGTCTTCCGTCTGGTGATGTTGCGAAACCCAGTGAGCACAGCACCCCACCAGGCTCGTTTCTCCTTTGCCTACTGCCAGTCTCACCTCTCTGCTCAGTGCCAGGCAACATGCTAGACAGGATGAGAGTGAAAGGAGCCCCAGGCAGACGGTAACCAACAGCAACATGGGGCGTTAGGGTTACTGAACTTGAGTAGCCAGGAGGTGAGGCTCGGCTGCTACTCCCTTTCTTAAAGAGACTTCCAAGTCACATGCAACTGACCAGAAGCAAGCAAAGCTGACAACACTGGCGGTTCACACTGTCTCACTATAGAGAAGCAACAGGCCATCAGAACCTGCACTGACCAACAAAATAAACACGTTGCCAAGATGAATCGGTCTCTAGCTCTCTCCACCAGTTTTGCTACAGAAAGCAATAGTTCCTCATTTGACCCACCGCCCACTGTTCTCCCCCTTGAGACATGTCAGGACCAGGCCCTACCCCACGCCCCTCTTCAACAGTGAAACAGATGTTAAACTGCTCATATAAAGATTATGTTAATACTTATTCCAGGTTTTAAAAAGATCCACTTTTGTTATATACTGTAATTTAAATAAATTGCATTTACATGCCTAGTTTCTGTAATATTGTGTATACAAAACCAAAATTGCTCAAGATGTAAATTATGTATACCTGCCAAGATACCTTCTCCAGGGTGTCTGTGCACATTTTAAGTTAATCCATAATATAAAAATGACTCAATGTGACTGTTGATTTGCTGAACTTTACATATCACAAAGTGAATCACTTGTGATACTTTAGTTAATAAAATGGTGATTTTTTTTTTTTTATTTGTTTCTGAGTTATTTAACAAGCAAGCATTACCCAGGGTGATCGGGCAATGACTTTTTGTGTGTGGACCACAAATATTGGTTTCTCCCATTAACAAAATTTTTGTTTTTTTAGAAACTAGTATGTTTCACACTATAGTTTGTGTAACATGTGTTCGCATTATCTATGTTTCTGTTACTTTGTGCTTTTATTCTTTTTAGACCTTATTAAAAACATAAAGAGAAAAAAACAAGCTCCTGTAATTTGCACTTTCTCCCAATTCTTAAAATCTCTTGTATGGCAACCAAAATTACTGTAAAAAAAATAATAATAATAAATATACTGTTGCACTAAGGTTGTGGTTCTGATTGCAAACAGTGAGGACTTTCTGAATTAAAAAGTTGCCAAGCTTACAATCCAGCCACTTGACCTCTACGACACTGACCAGATAATATCTGCCCAAAGAGTGAAAATTCTTTCAGTGAGCTCCTCTGCCTCGGTTCCATCTCCCGCAAGTTTTCTCAGCATAGTGGAAAGGAGCATTATTTTAGAACTGCGGACGTCTGTGAGCACCGCTGTGAGGGAGCTGAGGCCGGGCCCTCCTTTGTCTGGGACGGAAGCAGAAGGGCGTGGTGGGCGAGCCAGGTGAGACCTCGCTCCTCAGAGCAGAGGATCCCGCACACCCAGAGCGGGCTGTCTCCTTGCGGCCGGGCACGCCGGCTGGGCAGCCTCTCTGGCTGACACAGAGCCAACCATGCTTTCGTGAACAAATGTGCACTAGGGCTTGGGGCAAGAGAATGTGTCTTCTGGCAAAGAACTGAGCCAAGAAGACATGGGCTATTCCTTCCACTGTAGGGAAGCGTATTTTAAACTTAAATGTTGAACCTCTTCTTGGGCCTCATCAGTGAAAACTCACGGTCTTTAGTTCCGGAGCAGTTTCTTCTACTTTGGCACATCCTCCCCTTGAACAGCCGCCACTGTTTCTATGTTCATGACGAGTTCTCAGCCTCACATCTTCTGTGGTTTATGCTCCCCGAGGTCCAACTGCTACACCACCCAATGGGCCCTCCCCGATCTTCACCGCCCCCCAGCCCCACTGTCCAGTGGCTTCCTCCAGATGAATGTATCCGTCTGTCTTGTTAAGGAAAAAATAGATACTGAAAGACTTCTTCCGTCTATTTGTACTTTACCTGAGGCATTTTAATAACCAGTAAACTGGGACGTCTTGTGTATTTGTAGTGATCTGTGTACACGTGCAGCAAGGTGTCAGTCCCACAGCTGCCAGGTGTCTAGGCAGCTGCATGCAGATGGGCCTGCCCCTGCTTGGTGGGCAAGTGGGCAGTTCCAGACCGGTTTCTCAGACTTCAGCAGGGCCGATCACTTCCGTTTTTAATCCACGCTGTACCAGTGCTTTTGTCTCTTTACTGTTCCTGTAACATGTTTCTGCAGTTCGGAGTCTTTACCGTGTTATGTTTAAAATTACAACAGTCACTGTCCATTGCTTCTCCTCTGGAACTCTCTGTTTATAGCAATTCTGAAATTTTACTATGAGCCTTCAAATAAATACAGAAACAAAAAAGAGGAAAACAAGTAAAGTGTGTGCCTTGGGTGTTTTCAACCTGATCTGCATAAAACCATATTGTATTCAAATGCTGTATATTTAATGAGAGGGTAAATACACCTTCAATGTATTAATGTAGCTGATAAAATAGTTATAGTGCCTTGGTTTCTGAACTGAGAAGCCCCTGTCAATGCACAACGAAAAGTGAAAAAACGACTCAAGAAATGAAATGTTGAGAAGACCTGGACATGATTCTGGAGCCTTTCTCATCATAAGACTGTGGAATATGCACAGTCATTTAAGTTAAAAAATAAACATAAAATTGAAATAAGACTGTGTTATCAATTAATTTTCCTTTAAAAGTGCTCTCTGCTATACTACTTTCAGTATTTTCATTTAGTAAAAACACAAAAACATGGTTGAGAATTTGCTAGGAAAAGAAAAGGACATCTTTCAGACCTACTTCCCCAGGTTGTGTCGCCCCCCAGTGGTCCTTGTTGGTAATGCTTATCCAGTCAGCAGCACCTATCCATTATCTCCACGTTTAAAAAAAAAAAAAAAAAGCTTATTTTTAATGATTGAAGCCACTCATCACAGAACTACTTCCATTTTTTGTAAGCTACAGGCATGGCAACACACAGTCTGTTTTTTAAAAAGTGTGAGAAGTCATCAGACTATTCTCAAGGCCAAGGTCTCTCTCCATTTACTCAGTTA